CTTACTTCTCCAACTGTACTTTTTAATTGCTCAATAATCCAACTGTGAATGCCAAATAAAAGTGTGACAGCTCTGGAAAAGGCATTTGCTGTATACTAAAATATATGCATGCTTGCAGGTGCTTCCCTTTTTTGAACTAGTACAAGATATGATAACTCATCACATGTCAATAATTTCATAACAAATATCATGGCATAACAATTATCAGTTATGTTAAAACACCCCGAAGTTGGTCATCAGGTGCAAAAAGTATCAATTTTGACGATGTTTCTGAGGGAAGATGATAGCTTTGTCTCACTGTAGTCTGCATGTAGAGTGGACCCCAGTGAAAACATAAACCCCAAAAATGCTGAGTTCGGAGTTAACCTGATCTAAAGAAGGCCATTTCAACCAAAAATCAGGAATTTTCTGATTTTTCCAATTTGGCTTCACCTGGAACTTCAACCGGAAGTAGTCGTTCCCTAAGCATATTTAAATATTAAACACAAACAGTAGTTATATACCCATTGGGTTTATACTATTTTTGGAAGATTTAGACCTCTGTCAGTCAGAACTCAGACATAAATAAGTCTAAATCTGCTTTTGACTCATAGAGGTCTAAATTTGTAGGTTTAAAGATTTGTCTCCCTTTAATTTAAGACAAATTATGACTTCAATAAGTCAATTAGTGTTAAGCAAGAAATACTTGACCTGAATTAAAAAGTTGCAAATATTGACTCCTACAAGTCGATAAGTTACCAAAATTGGTCAACTTCAAGACCCAAGCATATTTATAACAAGCATTCTGAGAGTATTGTGCAATACATAGTCCCCTACCGGTTAAAAATTCATTGTATTAGAACAAAATGCTAACTTGATCTAAAACTTGTCATAGTGTAAACTATATAACAAATATCAAGTCAATATCTTCAAGCATGACGAAAAAAAGTGTTGAAAACTGATTATTTAAGTGAGTTTTCTAAGTCCAAGGACCATAACTCTGCACAAAATGATCAGACAGAAACAAAATTCGATCTGTAACTTGTCATGATAAAACAATACACCAAATATCAAATCAATATCTGCAAGCACGAAGAAAAAAAGTGTGGAAAACTGATTTGCCAGACTGACGGATGGACAGACAGACAGACGGAGTGCAATATGCATGAGAGCCTTAAAAAACGGAGATAATATTTATTTACTTTACAATGCAACCATCTATAACCACACAAATGAGGAAAATAATCTTATGTTAAGTAAAAATGTTCAATAAGATAATTAAATATTGATAGCTCAGGTCCTTGTGAACTCTCAGACAGGTTTATGATGTCAAAGGTGGTGAACTTTGGTCACCAATTAAAATTAAGTCTTTTCATAAACATAAATAGACCTAAACAAGTCTGTCATTTTCTGACTTGAATAAGTCTGAAAATGAAAACACATTTTTATAATAAATGCATTTTTTGACCTCTGTAAGTCAAAAACAAAAAACCACCAGGGGTTCAAATTAACATTTGGTACTGGAAGGTCCAGGACCTTTGACACTCCAAACTGAAAGGTCCACAACATAAATCCCAGGTCCTACTTTATTTGAAATATTTCATAACTCAGTAAGATTAATGTGTTTTTGGTCTTAGGTTACCTTGTTTAATTATATTTGAACTGCATGCAATATGTTGTTAAGTTTACAAATATATTGCCAGGCAACCATATAAATGTAGCACTAAACTGTCAGTGTTACTGTGGTATAAAATGTATAATAATAAATGATGTAATTGTCTTACAAGTATATTATGAATTCAAATAATCTTTTTTTTTGTATTGGGGAGGGTGTCACTGTGGGTGGGTGTGTTGTCTCAATTATTGGTAATTATACCATTATCTCAGGGCTTAGACTACTTTAGAATCATAGGGGGAAGTGACTTCTCTTTTTTAAACTGATAGGGAGAAGTGGTGAGATTTGAAAGAGAAGTGCTCACTCAAGGCGCTACAATGTTTGATTTTTACTAAAATATAAAGGGCTATATGTATCTTTTTGTATATTGTTCAATTCATAACCGAGTATTCAATTAAAGTAACAGTTCAAATTCATAGCTGTTTAAGTTCATCATAAATTGTTGCACAATTATATTAGTTCCTCTCTTGTTAGAAACTACCAACTAAATATCTAGCAATAATAAAGAAAGAACTTTTTTTACATCAAAAAAGAAAAGGAAGTGTGGAATGCTTAATTTTCCCCTTTGGAATCAATATTCTGCTGTCAGATGTGCCATTCATTGGTCCGTAGTCATTATCCTTAGAATCCGGATTTCATTCATAGCTGGTCCGTTTCCCGACTCCGATCAGTAGTTTGTACAAATATTTCAATGGCTGACGAAAAAATTTACAAAAATAAACGATGTTTGAAACGCTATTTGGAAGGGAATATGACGTTTTTAATGCAACGAATGGATTACAAATTAACTTAAGGCAACTTTCATCTCTTCTAATGGGTTAACAAACTTATTTTGCCGACAGTTAAGATGGTTTAAAGTACGCTCTCAAGGGGTATACCATGTCAATAGTAATATGGCTTTGAAATGAAGATACTGATGGTTCAAAAGGTCGGCAAAGTTAATTTTTATTTTCTTTCAAATCGAAGGTCCGTCGGGCGTAGCAAGTAACCAAAATGAAAGTCCGATTGCAATAGTGGAAGGTCACGGACCTCGGACCACCGCTAATTTGAACCCCTGACCACTTGTTTATGTCTGAGCTCTGACTGTCTGTACTGTGTGTCCGAGACACTGAAGCAAAGTCCACCCCTCCAGAAAACCCAGTTTTATCCAATTTCAATTTACGAGTTTCGTATTTAGGCTCAAACTGCATCTTAACCCTGAGAAACATGACAATAAATAGCATTAAGTTGAAGGAACATGCATAAATTTCGAAATAAACACCATACAGTTGTCGAGTTGACCTCTAAAAGAATGGAGAGCCATTGGAGCCAAAAATCGGTATTTGGGTAGAGGCTGTAATATTACGGCCCCTGCATGGTAAGGGTTACGAAACCATTAAAATTTACATCATTTTATTAAGATCAGATCATAGTAATGTATTCGTCACACTGTCCCTGTCTATCCTCTTTTTAAATAATCAACCACAGACTTATCACTTTATCAGTCAGACCACCTGATCCCTCATTGAAAATTCTCATGTAGTAATTAATAACAATTCTATAACAACTGCTGTTGGTGCAAGGATCAATATATAAAAGTGTGTTAAAATAGACAATTCTGTTAAAGAGACTAAGACTAAGATTCTGATAGGTTACATTTAGTTATCAAGATAACTGCTGATGGACTCACTTTTGAACTTCAGTACATAATATACATATACATGTATAAGAGTCCAGGCCCTTAGCCAGGATGTCTCACTGTGATTATTTTGAGTCATGATGCTGTAACGTTTAAAATCTAATTCAGTTGGATTTTAGTACTTTTTTGTTTTCCAAGGAGTCTGAGTAACTGTCTGAAAAAAGACCCTTCCTATGGATATCCCGTTTTTCTGGTCCTGAGATTTAGTCAGACTCTCACATACCTCAGTGAGACCTCTTTGCTGGCTGTTGCGTACTAGTGTCATTGTATGGATTATAAGAAAAGATTCAACACTTTTTATAAATACAATGGCTGTCTCTTATGCACTATCTTCTTCACTTGATTTATTGATGCAATATAAATTGGCTCTTATGCCATGAGATGTCATACCAGTGAACTGCAATATTTAGTAAAACAGGCATTAACTATCACATGGACTGGTTTATACTGGCTTGGATTTGAAAAATGACAGGTATCTTTCCTTTGCTTACAGTAACCCAGTAGCCATTCAAGATCCAGTTAGTTTATATGATCTGTTATTTGGTATATGCTGTAAACTTACAAAATTCACTGATGCAAACATTATAAACAATCCAAACAGACAAGATATTTAAGCAATTTGCAATGCTTTCAGATGATTTGGTAGATTGTATTTTAGAGGTTTTTGGCAGATTATCAATAAGCAAATTGGGTTAAAAGCTATTTGTTTTGAATTGGGAATAGAGCCAATGTTTGGTTGAAAATCATGGGTAGGAAAGATACTGCTTGTGACACAAACAACATTTACAGTATCACTGCACCTGGAAACAAGTTTCATGTATAGCTGTTAGTGGACCATTTTGGAGGGAATTAATTACAAATTACAATACATTTAGATATTGCGGTTGAGGAAAGCTGAATTAAAAATCAAAATAAATTTCAATATGAAATCGAGCAAAAACACACTTTTACTTGATCTTGAAACTACTAAAGAATGATAAAGCAATGAAAAACTTGTGCACTCTAATTCAGGTAATCGATCTGCAACAAAATGGAAGTGACATGATGCCAATAAAAGGTAAATGCCTTTTGAAAATAATTCAAGAATGATTTCTGAAATGAAAGGAAAACACAGCAGAACAAATCATTAGGCCTGTAGCTTGTTGACACAGTTTGACCTAGGTCTTTAACCTCAGTTTGGCCTCATAGTGTATAACAGTCATCCTGTCTCCATACTGAATATATTCTATATAGTTTGACACTACTGTTTAATTTATCCAACTAACAAGGTGTTGGTTATCAATATTCATAGACATTCACTTCAGCTGGACTTTGACGTCTGTCTGACTTAAATTTAACATATGTCAAAGTTTCCTTTATGCCTAAACTTTCGAATTGACTGAGATATTAAGTAGTGGCAATCCAATGAGGATTTTGCACATATAAATGACCACTGTTACAGATAATTATTGCCAATTAACCACAAATTATGTGTCAAGCATTCAGACTTCATAACACCTATTTGCCAAACAAATTTTTGGTTTTAGGTGAAGGTTAATGGGCTAAAACCTTGCAAGAATATGTATATAACTAGAAACTTCTCCTCTTTATCAAAATAGGGGAATTCAAAATTATATTTGGTTTTATTAGATTGAATGATAGCTTAGTGATTTACTAATATGTACCCACCTAGAATCCCAGTCATCACTGTTGATATCATATTTATATGTGGGCTTAAATTTAATTTCAGCTTCTGAGTAACCTTTGAATACATCTGTTCTTCCCAACTGCCTATGAAGCTGGAAAACAAAATCCATGATTATATTTCTTTGATGACTTGTATATATTGTGTGATAGTTTTCCTCAAAATAATTCTATACAAAAGTGTTTAAAGTTTTTTTTAACCCTGTATCTTGCCTGCAATTGCTGCTGTCAGTGTAAAAGTGAAATGTTGCCTGCTAAAAACTATGTCCATTTATCAGTAAAAAAATGAAAAATAAAACAAATAAAACGTTTTTCTTCAGATGCTATATCTTGATCTTGAAGAAGCTTATTTTCATGTTTCAAAAATTTCCAAGAAAGTTTAACAACTTTATTGATGTCTGAAAAAATGTTATCCAAGACTTCTATGTAAAAATTAATTGCAAAGAAAAAACAAAGTCCATCAATAAAATACAGAATGAACAAAATATTTTTCTATGCATACTGTCCTTTGATCATAAAAAAGCTTCTGTCCATGTTTCTTAAAAGTCCATTTATTTGGTTTGACAAAGTTATTGATTTAAGTCTGAAAAACTTTAACCCAAATTGTATCTTAAAGTTAACTGCAAAAAAATATCCATGTGCGTGGGAGGGAATCTGCCCCAAAGTTGGTCATCAGGTACAAAAAGCATCAATTTTGATTCAAATTTATACATGGAGACATGGGATGGCCTGCTGTAAAACCTAAACAAAATGTTGAAGTTTTGAGACTGTATTTCAAACTTACTGATTGAGATGAAAATAGACTTGTAAAAGTGATACATGAATCGAGTAAATCAAAACTGCGCTCCTGGCATTCCTTTGCACTGGAATTCATTCCAAAATGTGAACTTAGTTGTTTGATGAACGCTTAAAATATGAAAACCCGACAAAAAGTTACTATTTCAAAGGACAAGTTAAACAGTATGGATGCTGAAAATTGGTTAAGTGACTGATATAACGATAGAAACTGTGAAAATGGAAATAAACTTAGAACATTCAGACAGTACAAAAATTATCTTCAACCAAGCAGTTATGTGAAATCTGTAAAGTTGAGAGACTACTGTAGAACTCTAGTCTATCAAACTTTCGTTGTGGCTCTTTACCACTCACTATTGAAATAGGACGTTACACCAGGCCAGTTACACCTTTAAGTGAAAGAATTTGTCAATTTTGTTATGTGAATACAATTGAAACTGAACAACATTTTTTAATGAACTGTAATTTTTACTCAGACTTGAGAGAGGAACTTTTTAATTTATCTATTCTATCAAATGATGTTTTTATTACCTTGAGTGTGGAAGAGAAATCTAATTATATTATGAGCTGTGATGACATTCAATTTTTATTAGCAAATACATTGCATTTCATGTTTAAGAGGAGAAAGAGAAATTTATAACTACTAAAGAGTTTAAATTTTTTAATCATTTATTTAGTATCATATTTAGACTTTTAATTACTTCTATCTTTTTTCCTTCTTTTTAGTGGAAAAAGGATGATCTTAAAAGTAATTATTTTATACTTTTAAATAATTTCTAATTTTGAAAAATGATATTTAAATTGTGTATGCATTTAATTAGCATGAGGTAAAAGTGTCTCATATGTCTTTTAAGGCTGGAATCTAATATATTTTTATGCTTCTTTTATCTATTGTATAATATATTATGTATAATATTAGATTGTGACACTGTAATAATCTATTTAATTACTTACTTACTATGTTTTACTGTAGTCTGCATGTAGCGTGGACCCCTAGTGACCACATTGGTAGTCTAAAGAAGGTCATTTCCACCAAAAAATGGAAATTTTTTCGATTTTTTCAGATTTTTGGCTTTACCTGGACCTGGAACCGGAAGTAGTTGTTCCCTATGCGTATTTCAATAATAAACACAAATAGTAGTTATATGCCCGCGGGTTGCCACTATTTTTTAAAGTTTAAGGCCTTTGTACCGCAGGTCCCAGACACCGAAAGGAAGCCCTACCCTCCAGAAAAAACAGTTTTATCCAATTTCAATTTACGACGTTCGTATATGGGTTTAAACTGCACCTTAAACCTAAGAAACATGACAATAAATAGCCTAAGGTTGAGGGAACATGCATCAATTTCTAAATACATCACATACAGTTGATCTCTAAAAGTATGGAGAGTCATTGAAGAGAGGCCGTAATAATATGGCCCCCTGCATGGTAAGGGTTACTAATCTCTCTTTTACCTTTATGACATAAATTGTTGTCTGATTAACGTACTTTATAACATAAAAAAAACCCTATATTTATATATAGCATGTACCTGGTCATAAGACATCAGATCTTGTAATTTGGAATTCTGGATCATTGTTTTCACTTTATCAATGTCTAAATCGTTTAATCTATAGTTTAAATCACCAAGCCAGAATACCAACCTAAAAAATAAAAACAGAATAAACAAGTATAATGGTCAGAACTAGAGGCTCAAGGAAGCCTGTACTGTCAACCAGCATTTAATTATAATATTTCCCACATTTTTTTTTTTAATGCAACCAATCAACATCAAACAAAGACTGTTTGTAGAGGTCTCCAAATCATAAAAAAATGTGTTAATTCCAAAACATTGCAGATTGTTGATTAAAACTAAAAAGGCAAAATTTGTAGATGTCTTTTTATGCATCATTCCTACCAACATTATTTTACATTGGCCTTTTGGTTCTAGAGATGAAAATGATATATTTTGTGGAGTTTGTTTGCCACCAATCAGACCTTAAATTAACATAGTTTGTAGAGGGTCTCCCAATGATCAATCCTGTAAAGTTTCATACTGCCTTGTTGTTCAGAGAAGAAGATTCTTCAAAAATTGGTTATACGTGTAATAATTGTGCACTGCCATGAACCACCTTTACCACAATAAAGGGAAATAACTTACTTCAAATTCTACATTTTCAGAGACAGATTTGTGACAATGTAAAAGGGCCATCATAATTGTTCATTATCATTGGACAAAGTCTATGTTCAGACACTAAGCAGACACTAAGTAATTTACACATACGGATTTGAAACTGACAAATAAAGAAAACTGGTGGAAGCATACATCATACTACCATAAACTACACAATGGTAATCTTATTTTGAATGGAAATTAGTTTGAGTCATATTTTTAAATGTTATAATTCTAGCTCTCCCTATACATAATTCTTTTCAACAATAAAACTGTCCTACATGATAATTTAAGAATAATCATGACAAACAAGCATATATATCTCAGTTTGTTCCAGGGCTTCCAAAATTATTTTTAGCCAGCCGGACATTTTATTTATTATCCCGATTTTAATCCCTTAAGACTAAATAAACAAAAGGCAATTATGGTAATCAGTTGTCGAGTTGGCCATCCCAATGATTGACATTAAAAAAAACGATATTAAATTTTCTTTAATTCAAATTCGAAGTTCTGACGTAAACTGTTAAATTGGCAGTGCATCATTCGAAGTGTGCAACATCAGCGTACTTATATCTGCCTTATACTATTTATTTGTGCAAAATAACTTTACTTTCGTTTTTATACCGGATGTTATCTTGACAATGGTAAAACATGGACCAGAGACGGATACGTAAATTCCGTGTACGTTTGCAAAGCGTGAATGAGTAGAAGTAGCTCTTTCTACGTTATTTCTTCTAGAAAATATTCGAAATAAACGTGAGATAAAGGTATCAATGACAATTTAAGCATTTTTGGAAGAAATTAGGATGCATAACTAAATTTCACACCTGCGCACATGCGCACACGTGTACTAGTTCAAACAGAGACATGTCTCTAGGTTCAAACAACGTGGATATGACGATTTTTCATTTTCACCTTTTTAATTTTTTCATCAAATCATATTTGTAAACGTATTTCTGATAATTTAAATCTTTTTGACTATATTAATTAGATGCAAACCGCTGAAATGTAAGAAAATAACTTTGAATAGACCGATCAATGTCCAGTTCAAAATAGTTTACCTGTCAACTGAATAGGTAAATTTCAGCTGTTTGACAACTAATTAGCCTTGATTAAAATGAGAAGGTATTAAAGTAGGGGTTGTTTTGATAGTTCTTAATGATCATGTCACTTTTATGACCAGAAATGTGTGGCTGTTAAAGGCAAAACGTTGGGTCAAAAAGATCGCGAATTATGTTAAAATGACCGTCTCTGAAAGCCTTGAAAACTAAAAACTAGATGACCGTTTCATGCTTTGCCCAGCCGGACTTTTACCGGACATTAAACAAATGTCCGGCATATATGACCGTTTTGGAAGCCTTGGTTTGTTCATCAAGAACTTTCATGGTCTACAGTAAACAAGGGATTTTTTACAAATCTTTTCTCTCAAAATGAAGATTGTATATTACAAAATTCCTGTAAGAGAAACTACAACATATCTAAAATCCAAGATCCTTAAAAAAATACTTCTAACATCTTTAAATTTCTTAGGATCATTTAAATGACAATACTTACTCATGCTCATCAATAGTTAATGGAGGGACAAACTGTTTAAATCGCATTTTAGATGATATGTCTCGATAATCCTACAAACAAGAAAATATACATATAATTAAACATGTTTTATTCCTTTCAGTATGTATAAGAATAGATAGTATTAAAACAGAAGAGCAACCACTGATTTATAATTATGAAGGTATGTCAGAAGTGGTGTAGAATTTTATATAAAAGAAAAAATAATGTTTTACATTTTTGGGGGGTAGAGAGTACACCATTTCTAATACTGTAATCGGCCTTGTATAGTTTGCACTGGTACATAGTCTGCACCCCTTCTTGCCACGAGAATACAGGTAAAAAACTGCTTTATAACTGGTTGAAAACGTCTCTTGAAACTCTGGTATTATCAAATCGTATGTGATCTTTTTGCGGTATTTTCATGGAAAAACCTATGTTCCATCATCAAATAGATTTCATGGAAAAACCTATGTTCCATCATCAAATAGATTTCATGGAAAAACCTATGTTCCATCATCAAATAGAAGTTGAAAATGCTTGTCAATGATTCTAGAATATTTCATGAGTGTTGAAATAAGTCAAAATCACAAAAAAACAATTGGGAAAGTTGTAACCGCAAATTAGAATACTGTGGATTCATTTATTTTCGTGGGTATCAATTTTCGTGGATTCAGGAAAACTTGCATTTTCGTGGATATTTAATTTCGTAGTTTTGCCAATCTCTGCATACAAAGCTTATGGAAAATTTGTCATTCGTTGAACATTTGAATTCGTGGTTCACCTGTACCCACGAAACCAACGAAAATTGGTATCCAATGAATAATAATGAATCCACAGTAGCATGTGTAAATAAACAAATAAATATGGTGAGAGTGTGCAGAAAATCCGTACTTAATAAATACCACTAGAATACGACTTTGAAAGTAAAACAGTTCCATCCTTTAGTAAAATACCGTTAAATATATCCATCATATTAATGTTTGAAGGATGTTAAGCTAAAACAAAACACATGTGTCAGTATTAATCGAATAGCCGATCACGTTTTGTAGTTTATATATTGTTATGCATAAACTGGTTTCAGGTTGACTTATACACTTTTTTCGTTCCGTTAAATACAAGCAGTTTCCAGTTTATGTTATGCAATGCTGTGAAAAGAAACGAGAAATTTGTTATGAAGCATTTAATTATGAAATTAATCACTTTATAAAGAATTTTGAATTAAAATTGCACAATAATATGGATTAGGTAAAATATTAGTTTTGAGAATGATAAGGGCGCCCTCTACAATTTCAATAACAAACATGGCGGAACATAAACAAACCTCGCAAAGTCGATGTTTTTCTCCTATTTCTTGCTTATCGTACTCTATAATCCCCCCCCCCCCCCTGCCTGGCAGCTTTAATTTTGGAGAATAAAACCGTGGACTATACAAACCTGAATTCGGTATATAAATAGGCATATTTATTTTGTGAAATTCACTTCCTTGAGTGTTTCAAATTCTTCCTAATATAAATATCAATTGCAGATATAAATAAATGTTGTGATTAATATTTTTACATTATTAGATAGTTTGTTTCTGAACTAGTCCTCAGAATCCAGAACAGCCTCATTTACGCTTTTACTTTCTGTGAAATATACTGAAAGTAAAGGATAACAAACCTGATTTCTTCGTTCTAATTCATCCTGGTGAGCTGCCAGATGTGAACATAGAAAACATATAGAGGTACTTTCTATGGTAAAACGCACTCCAACACCACCTTTATTCCCCTAGAAAAAAGCATCTTGTTACAGAAATATATTCCTACATTGCCTGAATAATTTCATGAATTTCCTATAAAGCTGTTTTTAACCAGAATTTACTAAAGAGTATGCATACATACTTTTAATGAAAGCCATTTAGAAAAATGTTATCTTCATTAAAAGTATTGCATTTCAAAAACTTAAAACATACAAGTATTAGAGGTGAAGACCTTTCAACGCTTACCGTAAATAACATTGCTATAATCTTTTCTTTTATTCTTTTTTTGGGGGGGCTTTTATATCCCATATTTCTTCTTTTTTTTAAACCCTTCATTGACAAGATTGGGATAATAGATTGGTATTAAACTAAACAAAACCTGGTATATTATTTGTTAATGTTCAACACTTCAAAGGAAATATAGACATAATTTTTCATACAGAAATAAGCATTGATTTACAAAAAACCCTATTCCCTTATTAAGGAAAATTATGAAAATTAATACATTTATTTACATGAAAACAATCTGTCGATGGATAAGAGTGTATGTACCTATATTAATAAACATGTTTGCCTTACCATAATTCCCATAATGCCAGTAGCTACAGTGTCAGAATCTATAAAATGTACTTTAGATGAATGTTTTTCTAGAACATAAACAATCAGCATAACACCCACCAATCTCACTAATTTAACCTACAATAAAAACAATCAAATGACAATGTGTGTAACAAACAAGGATTCTAATCAAATTGTGTGTAACAATCCAGGATTCTAATTACAATGTGTGTAACAATCCCGATTCTTATTACAATGTATATAACAATCCAGGATTCTAATAACAATGTGTGTAACAATCCAGGATTTTAATTACAATGTGTATAATAATCCCAGATTCTAATTACCATGTGTGTAACAATCCAGGATTTTAATTACAATGTGTGTAACTATCCCAGACTCTTATTACAATGTATGTAACAATCCAGGATTCTAATTAACATGTGTGTAACAATCCAGGATTCTAATTACAATGTGTGTAACTATCCGGATTCTTATTAATACATTGTATGTAACAATCCAGGATTCTAATTACCGTGTGTATAACAATCAAAAATTCTGATTGATATCCACCCTGATTTTCCTACATTTTTTACTTTACCATTTTTATAATCAAAGCGCGAAAGCGCTGTAAAGGCAGTTAATTACAGGTTGTGTGTATTTTTAGTCCAGTTATATCATTATCTTGCATAGTACATTGTACTTATCAGAGGTGGCTTTCAGTATTTAAGATTTAGAGTTCTCTAATGATATTGAACAAGTTTTATGAATGTCATATTCTGAGCACTATATGAAGGCGATTGTTCTCACTTGTTTATGAACTAGTGCATTATGTCCAGTTAGTACCTTTTTTATCTATGTTTATAGTCAAATACTGTTTAAAATAGTTTGGCATTTTCTTTTAAGTAATAAGTAAATGTTATCAACTGTATTTTATTCAACTTTGCAAATGTGGTTTGTTACTGGTAAGTACAATGTATGGATGATAGTTGTTTCATTGGCAATCATAACACATCTCCTTATTTATATAATGATCTATATTCAACGACCTCAGGTACAAAAAATATGTATGTAACTAAACTATGATGGGAAACCTTTGACTTCTTTCTTTAATATAAACTTTTGATTTGGTACCATAGAACTATGTAGAATAAATGTACATTGCAACATGTCAACTCTTTCAATGACAATACTTTTTTTAGAAACTATAACTCCAAGCAAAATTATATTTCCAAGTATAAAGTAATTTATGAATGAAACAAGAGTGCACACGCTGAAATGTCTCGCCTTCTTTACTAATCATTGATATTATGTTGATAGTCCTAAATATAAAGCTTTATTACAACTGTCACATAAACTTAACATTAACCAAGTAAACTAAACATTGACCAATGAACCAAGAAAATGAGGTCAAGGTCAGATGAACCATGCTAGGCAGGCATGTACAGCTAACAATTCTTCCATACAACAAATATAGTTGACCTATTGCTTATAGTTTAAGAAAAACAGACCAAAACACAAAAACTTAAAACTGAGCAATGAACCTTGAAAATGAGGTCAAGGTATAAAAAAAACCTGCGTGACTGACATATAGATCATAAAATATTTCCATACACCAAATATAGTTGAACTATTGCATATAGTATTAGACAAAAAGACAAAACTCAAAAACTTAACTTTGACCACTGAACCGTGAAAATGAGGTCAAGGTCAGATGACACCTGCCAGCTAGACATGTACACCTTACAATCATTCCATACACCAAATATAGTAGACCTATTGCATACAGTATAAGAAAAACAGACCAAAACACAAAAACTTAACTATAACCACTGAACCATGAAAATGAGGTCAAGATCAGATGACACCTGCCAGTTGGACATGTGCACCTTACAGTCCTTCCATACACCGAATATACTAGACCTATTGCTTATAGTATCTGAGATATGGACTTGACCACCAAAACTTAACCTTGTTCACTGATCCATGAAATGAGGTCGAGGTCAAGTGAAAACTGTCTGACGGGCATAAGGACCTTGCAAGGTATGCACATACCAAATATAGTTATCCTATTACTTATAATAAGAGAGAATTCAACATTACAAAAAATCTTAACTTTTTTTTCAAGTAGTCACTGAACCATGAAAATGAGGTCAAGGACATTGGACATGTGACTGACGGAAACTTCGTAACATGAGGCATCCATAAACAAAGTATGAAGCATCCAGACCTTCCACCTTCTAAAATATAAAGCTTTTAAGAAGTTAGCTAACGCTGCCGCCGGATCACTATCCCTATGTCGAGCTTTCTGCGACAAAAGTCACAGGCTCGACAAAAAGGAGTTCTTAATTAAGTAATAAACTGATTTGCTGAGCGCAGCTGGATACACCCACAGAGGTCCAACCCTGAACAGTTGAGGCAAAAATGGACACAATATTCAAGCTTGATACAGGTCTGAATTTGGATTGTAATTAAATATTTGACATATTATAGTTTCTGAATAAATGTAGTCAAAGAACTTGAAATCGGTTATATGAATTGAATTTATATTCAGTTAAAGATTTCTTGCTGTTGTGCAATACACTGTGCTGTTGCGCAATACTTAATAAATCTGTTGCCAGACTATAAACAAATAAAGTTCAATTTCTTCTCAATGTCATATTTGAAATTTATGAAAATCAATAGGGAGATTACATCAATAGCTATAAATAATTCACCAAAGTTTCATGCGAACTGCTTAAAGCATTTTTGAGTTGTTGTCCAAAAACTGGAAAATCCCCCCCTTTTTAATGAATAAAACCCCATAACTCAATAATGTAAAATCTAAAATTTATAAAATTCTAAAGGGAGCTTATGGATTGATAATTTAGTCTTAGATGCAAGTTTTTTTTATCAGTTGTTTGTGGCTTTGAACTAGCTGTCAGTAAATGCGAGTACTCTCAGATCTGTACTTAGTGTCTTTTTGTTGTTTGGATGTACAACTACCCAGCCACGTCCACTAGTATTTGTATTTATCCATCTGATGAGTTAAGCCTCTTTCAACTGATTTTTATAGTTCGCTCTTATATTGTACTGTTACACCACTGTCCCAGGTTAGGGGGTGGGTTGGGATCCCGCGAACATGTTTAACCCCGCCACATTCTGTATGTACATGTATGTGCCTGTCCCAAGTCAGGAGCCTGTAATTCAGTGGTTGTCGTTTGTTTGTGTGTTGCATATTTGTTATTCGTTCATTTTTTGTACATAAATTAGGCCGTTAGTTTTCTTGTTTGAATTGTTTTACATTGTCATTTCGGGGCCTTTTATAGCTCACTGTGCGGTATGTGCTTTGCTCATTGTTGAAGGCCGTACTGTGACCTATAGCTGTTAATTTCTGTGTCATTTGGTCTCTTGTGGAGAGTTGTCTCATTGGCAATCATACCACATCTTCTTTTTTATATTTACATCAACAGATATAAACAATTCACCAAAGTCAAGGTGAGACAACAAAACTTAGTTGTAAGATCTCTGCAATTATTTACACGGTACAAGTTTTTCTAATTGTTGGAGATTGTATGGTGACAGTAACACCTGTAACTGCTTAACCCATTTCTTATGCACTTTGGTTCGATAAACTCACTGAATATCATACCACATCTCCTTATTTTTATATGCATTACAATTTACATGTGCATGTAATTGTAAATAATATTTATATATATATATCAGAACAAACTTCATTGCGTCACTTTTATTTATGCATCCTTTGGCACAATACAAGTTCTAAAATTACACAACATAAAACAACTAAATGTTATTTCAGATGAAAGTTTTGTTTCAGTTCCATTCATAGGATTTATTAGAATTTTGTATGTTTTGCCAAGTCCAATAATTAGCTCTATGTGCACGTGTTAATTGGAGACTTTTCTATCCCGTATAAGAGTTTTGGAACTAATTCTGTTTCTTTTTTTGAAAAAAGTGAGCAAACAAATCTTGCACATTTAAACCTTTGTCTGCCATCACACTGTCACCTGGATCACATAATTGAACTATTCTACATCTTTCAACTATTTCACAGTCACTGGTACAACCAACATATGCATTAGAGACATAGTTGACTAAACCACCAGGTGTCGAACATACAAGTATTTTCAGTGTTTCTGTTTTTATATGATGAAAAGGTTGCCTGAGCTCTAGGAGCTTTAGGTTTTATCACAGGATATTCTGTGCTGTCAATAATAATCCAAGTTGTAGGAAACTTTAATTCTAAGTTGGATGGCGAAAAATACCTGACTAAACCACTAAATGGCCAAGTGTTAGCCTCACGCCACTGTTTAGACATAAAAACAATCCATGTTTACACAATATTCTTAACACTAGTTTCAATCTAGAATCTAGACAGTTCAAAGTTGGTTGTATAATGCATCAATTTCATCAAAGTCATAAAAAAACTGATTTTCAAATGACACCCTATCAATTTGAAAATATATGTATCTCAAACAATGTGCTGTTGGACCAAGTGTGGTCAAAACAAATAAAAATTTAGTATACAACTCTAAACCGGTATAAAAATGCATGGCTGTGTCACGTGTCTTCATTTCAAAATTCTCTGCTGAAAATATAGGCATTGATGGTGTTTGCGTAATTCCATCTGTGAAGCTCAACATTAGCTCGGCAGTTGGTGGTGGACAGTCATAAATCCTGTCTGCAGTATGAATTACTTCTTCTGGAAAACCAACTTTACAATCAAAACTTTCCTCTAGATTTCTACTACAATATTCATCAAGTTTAGTTCTTTTGTTTTCACAGGAAACTGCCCTGATTTTTCTTTTTGAGGACGATTCAGTCTCTTGCTTGGTCCAGGAAAATAGGCTGGGATTGGCAGTAGACTTAAAGTCTCTGTATGGTGGGTTTGTGCCCTGAAAAAGGTTATAAAACATTAGTTTTTTGATAAATAAATGAACTTCCATTAGCAATGCATACTTTGTACAGAAGCAAGTTAACTCGTACCATTGTAAACTCGTACCAACGTAAACTCGTACCACTGGGAAGTCGTACCACTGCAAACTCGTACCATTAAAAATATATTCAAAAATACGAAAGTTTTATGATTTTTTTTTTTGGTAAACTAAATAAAAAAAGTTGAATTACTTGAATTT